CCACGGTCTGCGGGGATGGATTCTGCAGATGCTGACGCTGAGCAGCGAGTGACCCAGACTGTGAACCGTGCCCGGAACCGAGCAAAGAATGCCCCTCGGGCCAAAGCATGTCCCGGGTCGAAATGACGTGTGTCTTCCAAACCCCTTCCTCAGCACCTGGCTTTAGCTTTCCAGCACGCAAATGTGAGCGTGCCACACACCTAGAGAGCACAGCTAAAAGTCAGAGTCTTGGAAGGCACCGTCGCCCCAGGACGTCGTCGTCATGGGGGGGGTGGTTTGGTCCCTGCCCATCCTTGCCTCACACCACAGCCTCAGCCAGCCACCGTCTACCGCCCCTGTGTGTCTTAGAAGATCCCTCTGTCAAAAGGCAAAATTAAAACCATCTAAAGATATGCTTGGCTTTTGTTAGCGATTCTAGACTCAGGTAACCTCTCGTGCTGGTAAAATGGGTACAGTGAGTGCTCCGAGGAGCAGAGGAGGTCGGCTTTATAGGAAGGAAAGGGCTGAAGGGGCACGGTGGCTCACACCTGCAATCCCAGCACTTTGGGAGTCCACGGCAGGAGGACCGCTTAAGGCCGGGAGTTTGACACCAGCCTGGGCAGCATGGCGAGACCCCCGTCTCTACAAAAACACAGAAAAATTTGTAGCATGAGAACAGAAGGGACTCCCTTTTCATGCTGCCTCAAGTAACTGGGCCCTTTCAGATCAGCTGCTGTGAATCTCCCGTTCTTTTGGAAAACTGGTCTAGTTCAGAGTTCAGTCTGATGAAGCTTCTGGTAGCACAGGTGACTCTGTTCTGGTTCGCTCTGGTCTGCTGGGGCCGAATGCAGGAGCTAAGTCCACATAATGGCCTCCCATAAGCTTTGCTCATCACCTCTATCCTTGCTCGCTGATGCCTCGGAGCTGTGTAGGGGTGCTCCTCTCACAGGAATGCTTCCTGGGGCACCCTCACCCACACCCCGTCATCCTGCAAAACCCCCACGATCCAACACCTCGTGGGTCTGATACCTTTTGGTGCAGGATTCCTTTGTGACTCTGCCTTCTCCTCCATCCTCTCCCCTGTGGTAATTTTGCAGAGCCCTGTGTTTGCATATTTATCTTTACACCTGTCCCCCGCCCCCTCCGCAGTGGATGGAGTTCCTGCAGGTCAGGGACCCACTTCCTCTCCTCCTTTCTTCTGTGTGCAATCTCTCCACTCCTGTGCTCATCGCAGCATGCAGCTGGTAGTTCACGCGCAGCGAGCGTCCACTGCAGGGATGACTGGGTGGAGTACATTACGCTTCCTGAAATTCGAGTACAAAACCAGGGCGGGACGTTGTAGAATTGAGCCTCAGCCGGTGTGAACAGAAAACAAAATGCTTTGCAAAGCTAAGCGTGGCGAGATTCTACGTCACTCGCCGCCCCTTTTACTAAGGAAAGTAGTCGTTAATTTAACAAAATGTCTTGGCGAACGCAACATTTACGGTGGTGTTTTAGTGTTCAGTGCATTCATTTTACTCTGATGAGCATAGACGTGGTCTTCCGTTTATTTTCTTCGTTTGGAGGGAGCCTGGGAGCTGTGAATCATTGAGTCTCAGGCTCAGGCTTGACTGAAAATGAAATCATCTCCCAGTGGCAGGGAAGTGCTAAAGCTGCCACTCCGCGGGGCTGCTCTTGACGGCTCTGTTTTCCCTGCAGATTTTCACCGCTTTGCCGCCCTTCACTCTGGGAATCTTCGAGAGGTCTTGCACTCAGGAGAGCATGCTCAGGTTTCCACAGCTCTACAAGATCACCCAGAACGCCGAAGGCTTCAACACAAAGGTAAACAGGATGCGATCACGGAATTGTCACCTCAAAAAGGCGCGGCCCCGCCTTTTGCCGTTCCACGCCAGGCATCTGCCTGTGCGATAGCTCAAGCTTGAGAAGCACCAGTGCCGCCCCCCACACTTCACCCCCCAACACACACACGCACACACGCACGCACGCACACACACGCACACGCACACACACACGCACACACGCACACACACACACACAAGCCCAGTGCATTAGAGGTGGCTTCTGGAGTGACCTGTCCTCGTCGCATGGGGTGCATCTTTCAGTTCCAGTTTGCTGAGTCCTTCCTGCTCCTCCCTAAGCCTCTGGTGTCAGCCGGGCCAGCAGCACCCAGGGCCCAGGGCCCCCAGCCTCAGCCTGCAGAGCCCCCCTGTCGCCCTCACTCCGCCCTGTGTGGAGGCCACTGGGAGCCCGCCCGGCTGCTGCTGAGTTTCCATCTGCCTGGATACGAACACAAAAGTTAAGTGAGTCATGGGTTCTTGGGGTTTTTCTGCAGACCACAGGCTCAGAAAGGACACAGAAGGGGTGTGGGTAATCCTGAGAAGCCCAAGCAGAAGCGGGGTTGGGTGTTAAAGAGATTGCACAGTCTGGACTGGCCAAGGGGGTCTGTCGTGCTGGACAGACCGTGGCTGAGCGTAGCAGAGCAGCGGGCGGCCGGCGGGAAGATGTGTGCCCGGCCGGCAGCGGGGAGGTGTGAGCGTGGCCGTGTTTGTGTCTCAGGTTTTTGTGCAGGCAGGATTGGCAGTTTTAGGCAGGGGCCCGCTGCCCGGCGGCTGTTCGCAATGTGCGTGGGTGGCCCTGGGCCCGAGTGAGGGTGAATCAGCGCTCCCTGTCCAGGCCCCAGCCAGGCAGCCGCCCCCGCAGGCCTTGCTTCTGAGCCAGGTATTCCCGACAGATCCTGCACAGCTGCCCGGTTCTGAGAGGGCGTAGCCGGCATGCCCCAGACTGGAAAACAAAAGGCGTCCTGTCAGGTCTGCTGTCTTCCACACTAGGGAGGCTTGGGCCACTGATCTGTTGGGTCCGGTTTGTTGTGCTTCTATGGATGGGAAAGAAGACCCATTTCCTCTGCATTATTTACATAAATTAAATCTGTTTTCTATCGAGTTTGAATTCAAGGGCCATTTGAGGTGGGAAGGAGTAGGGGATGGGGCCCAGCCAAAGATGGAAGAGCTGAGAATGCCCTGAAACTTTTTTCAGGCACTTTGAAATTTTTCTTCTTCTCTCTTTTTTTTCTTTTTGGTAGAGACATCAGGAAAAGCGTGGTGCAAAATGAATATTTAAAGTGGGAGAAATCCCATTGTCTTACAATGTTTTCATTATCTTCTGTTGTCCCACCACTACTTAGGATTGAACTATATGACAGGTCCCCAAAAAACTGGTAGACTTTTAAGTACATTTAATCTGGCTTTAATAGTTCTGTCATCTCAGTGGTTCAAAGGATGATTGAAATGCATTAATGAACTAAAGTTTGTGTTCTTTTGGTTGATCTTTCAAGTACTAAAATAAAGAGAATTTTTCAAATGTGTATACTATTAACAGAAAACCCAAAAATTAAAAAAAAAGTGGAATGAGAGAGGTTTAAAGGAGTAGGAAAAAAGATAATTCCATATAAGAATTTATAAGTAAAAAAATTTTTTAATGCTTTCAAAAGTATGCGGTTTTAGTCTGTTATTAACAATTTTGACCTCATACCCTTTTTCTGGATGGTTGTGAAATGTTGTCTCTCTTACACCATGCTAAAGAAAACTGGTCACACTCCTTCTGCAGAAGTGAATAGATTGTGTGTCAGTCTATACACATGTGGATAACTACTTAGGTCTTTGTGCTCAAGTAATATTATCTGGAGATAGTCCAGTCTTTTGTGTGTAGAAATTAAGAAACAGGGTTTGTTTGTTTTTTTCCCCAAATCCGAGAATGACCTGTCACTGCAGGAAGGATGCAGCCAGCTGCCAGCATCCTGCACAACGTGGCGTGTGTCGAGTTGCACAGAGGTCAAGAGTCGTGGGCAGCTCCTGACTCCTTTGGTTTGTTTTCCCGCAGGTCTTCTGGGGCCACTGCATCAACGCCTTGGTCCACTCCCTCATCCTCTTCTGGTTTCCCATGAAAGCGCTGGAGCATGGTAATGGCTTTATGATCACAACTGTCCACGCGTAGCTTTGCAGCTCCTCTGTGTTCACTGCTTTTTTTTTTTTTTTTTTTTTTTCCCAGTTCTGTAGAAGGAGAGATCACAAGAACATGATTTGGAGGGAAACCCTACCTAAAATCTAATGAGAAGCTAGTTCCAGGTTTATAGCTAGTAGGTTTCATCAGTTCCGGCTTTGAGAACCCATTTTCCTTCCAGTCGACTGGCTATTCTGAATAGTAGGAATTCTGAACTCAATTTTTAGTAAGGGTGAGAGTCAGGGATCTGGAAGAGAAGGGCTGTGCTATGATGAAAAGTCAATGCCTCTTGTCCGCGAGCTTGAAATTCTCTGTTAATCACTTGGGCTTTCATTTCCAAGCCTGCCGTACCCCTATACAGAATAACCCAGATCTCAATAAGAGTTATTCCTGGGTTTTCTGAAAGAGTTTGCTTTCCTTGGTGTATGCCTTTTGAAGTCCCGTAGTTTTTCTGAGGGCCGAGTCTCCAGTTTGGTTTCAGTCTTTCTCTACGGCTAGGAGAGGATGTCTGAGAACGGTGGTGGCTCCATGTTTCCTTACACTTCTCCACGTGCCCTAAACATGGCCTCCTAAAGGGGCAGCTCTGCAGTCGCAGGAAATGAACATGTATCATGAGAATGCTACTCTTTCATCCCCTCTCAAGTAGTAATAATCCCCCTGGGAAAAATTACTCCAAATGTTGACTAGACAAGGCCTTTTATTGTTCAGAGAACCAAAGAATATAAAGTTTCCGAGCATCTTTGTTTCTGGGTCAGCGTGTCTCATGCTTCACACAGAAATGATTCACCCTCACTGATACTCTTTAACCTGTTAAATACTGGCAGCTAGAAAGAGAGCATGCACAGCCGGTTCCTTAGGCCCTGTGACCCATCCTTTCAATTTCATCAGAACTCCTTTTCCTTCCAGGATCCCTAATCGGATAATTAAGTTTTCTGCCTCTGGCCCCAGACCCCCAAAAGGAACATTCTAGTGAAATCATTTTCTTTTTAACTTTAGATCTTTCTTGTGATTTCTCTTTACTCATGGTGGAATTAACCTGTAAACCCTTACTGAAGAACCATTTTAAAACAAGTATGAGAGGGTTGCGCACGGTTTTGTTTGAGGAGCAGTGATCATAGGCATCCTCGCGGCCGGCTGGACCTAGTGACGGGAAGCGGTGTGAGTGATGAGTGCGGGGTGGGGGATGATGTGGGCAGTCATCCCTCTGGACCCGCACCAGGCTTGCGTGCTTGGGAAGAGAGAGCGAGTAGCGTGGACTGGCCGCCAGTGCTATCTGCAGACCCCCACCCTTCTCACCTAGACCTCCTCCTGTGTTCCTAACCCAGCAGTTGCTCGCCTTGGGACTCTCGGAGGTTTTGCACGATGGTCATTTACTTGCGTCAAAAGGAATTAATGTGGCCCCTCTGCAGCAGAGACGGTGGTTTTCTAATCCCGGAGTTAATGATCATGTGCTTTGAGTCTGTGGCTCCTAGTTTATATGGCGGAGTTGCTATAGTTTGCCTAGATTCCATGGTGTAAATCCATTCATTCACCTAATGTGCTATATGTAATATTTACAAGGGAGTAAACTTCCAACAGCTGCTAATTTACCTAAAAGATAATGCCAAGTGGAATTTAAGTTTGGTTCTACCATCCTTATCTGTTCCTCCCACCACTACATTTGGCAAATTGCCTAGCAGCCAGCCAATAGGTTGATTTCTTTTTCCCCCGCCTTTTTTATTATGATCACCAGGGTCATCCATGTCATTATTTCATTGTGTTTATCAAGCCTTCAGCATAGGGGTTTATCTTGTCATTGTGTTGCAAACAACAGCCTATTGTATGAAACCGGTTAAGGTGAAGTCGCAAATATTAAGTGTCTTGGCATAGAACAGCAGAAGACCATTGGTGTTCTTGTTCATTAGTTGACTTCCTCTAACAAATTGAATGACTATTTTAGAATTCTAAATTCTAAATGCTCACAATTAGTACAGCGCAAAAATCATTACATCACTGCTCATTAACCTTATGCATGTAACACTTATGTCCAAAACACTGTGGTAGATTCTAAGGGTGAAGAGTAAGTATATCGATGTGGGTCCTAGCTTCTGAGGGTCTGAAGCCTGGTAAGGGAGGTTAGGTTTTGTATTAGTCCGTTGTGTGCTGCTGTAACGGAACACCACAGACTGCGTGATTCACAATGAACAGAAATGTATTTGGCTCATGGCTCTGGAGGCTGGGACTTCCGGGATCGCAGGGCTGGCGTCTTGTTAGGGCCTTTCTGCTGCGCCCTCCCACAGTGAAAGCCCTTGCACCTCCTCCCCTTTCCCCACCCTCCCGGCAACTGTAGAACAGAACACCCCTCTACCCGTTGCCAGCACCCCTGTGTTTTGGCCAGAAAAGGGGCGAAGGAGTGTGGGACCACGCACACCTGGAGGGACATTTTCTGAGTGACGGGCTGGAGGTGGGAGAGTCGCGTGATGGGATTTCCTGTGGAGGAGATGAGCTGCTCTGGAGAGAAACACACGGGAATTGGCGAGAGTGTCGGTCGGCTTTTGTCTTTTGCGGGTGTGGGTGGGTGGCAGGGAGTCGCGGTGGAAATCAAGAAAGATTGTGACGTTCCAGAAGGTGGGTGTGTCAGCCGATTGGGATACCTGTGTATGTGAGCTGATGTACTGTCTTAAGGACAAGTGAGTTCTTATTACACCTGGAATTGCCATTTAGAAGGATGTATCTGCTCCACCCTCAAAGAGGCACAGGAGCATGAGCCAATCTGAAACAAACCGGGGCACTTTCAAAGCCTGTGGGGCCCTGGTCTAACCGAAGAGCACCTCCAGGCCTTCCCCCACCTGCCAGGTGCAGCCTGGCGTCCTTCCGATGCCTGCCCAGACCCTGAGCCCTGAGGTGGCGCTGCTTCACCAGGGGTTAGGTTCCTGGTGTAGTTTCAACTCCCCATTTGATACTGTGTGGATGAGTGGGCTTTACTAGAAAATTCTCTCTCCACTATCCAAGTAGAGAGGCTCAGGCGCATACTAGCGCTGTTTGCTTTGAGCAAGGCGATGTAATTATTGGGAAGAAATACATTTGAGAAGGTGTGGGTACATTGTTCATTCCCTAGAATGCTTCCAGGAATTTTGCTTTGCTTATTTCTGTGTGGTTTTGGAGAGACGTTTCAAAGCACCCCTTTGCTCATGGAGTTTGTGATGATTCATTTCAAGTTTCAAAATAAATTTTTCCGCTCGAGCAATTCAGTAAACCAGATTTCTTCTTCCAACCATCACGGCCTCTCGCTGGCTCCCATGGTCTGCCGGCAGCTCCCACCCTTTGATCTGAAAAGCGATTTCTAAGTTGAAACCGTAATGTCACCTTCACGGGACCAAGTTCATCAGAAGCCTTGGTCTCAGCCCCGCTCAGGTGTGTCCAGTTAGCATAACTGAGCAACCCTCCTTGAAGTGGAATGTGGTTATTGGCAAAAGATCGTAAGATCAGTTTTGATTTTATAAAAGGAAATTTTCAGATTTTTCTTGATGTCATTTAAGAGGGCAGTGATAGGAACGAGAGTATACTTACCAGCAGAAAAAGGTTCCTAAAACATTTGTTCTTGGTTCCCCAGAGTCCACACCATGAAAACAATTCCCTCACCTTTTGGGAAGAAAAAGTACCACGTGGGTACTTACATACAGGCGTTGATTCAGCAACAGGGCGCTAATTCAGCATTTTTGGAGAAGACTATTTTACACTTTTTGATAAATGTGCTGCTATAAGATCAGGCATATTTTATATACTGAAACAAATATAAACACGTGTATAAAATAAAACTTAGTGCACTTCTCTCTGCCCATGGCATTGTTGGGTCTTACTAGCTTAAAGTATTTCTGACCTCTACCTTGCTACTGTAAACTTGGGTGTTTTGTATCATGTAAATCCTGATGACTTGCATTGTTTCACATTAAGCTAAATTTGGGCAAGACTGCCAGTGTTCTCTAAGACTGCAACTTCCTAAACTCCATTACTCACTCATAAAAAAAAGAAGATGACAAATGAGTATGTCGCGTGTGCCAGGCCCCCGCTGGGTTTGGGTTTGTAGTAGTGTATGTCACAGACAAGGTCCCTGCCCTCGTGGAACCTGCACCTAGAGAAGGCAGGACTTGAACAAGAAGTGTTACCGGAGCGAAGGTCAAGGTCAAATGCAGCGTATTCCAAGGAAAGCTACCCTGGGCTGGGCTTTAAGGACTGTTTCCCAGGGGACGTGGCAACAGAGCTGTCAGGTGCGTAGAAAGTGAGCTGGGAAAAGAACAGAGAGGGAAGTTGGGTTGCAGGAACAGCATGGGGTGAGGAAGTGGTTCCAAGTCAAAGAAGGCACCTGTTGGGGGCTGGGGGAAAGGGGTAGGGGCAGGAGTGTGGGGCACAGATTGCCTTGGGATGATGAGGGTGGGGACAGAGACGTCAGACCATCCTTTTGGAGTGTAAGGGAACCATTGCCAGGCTTTAACCAGGAGCCACGTGATCTGCTTTCTCTTAATACCCACGCTGGCAAGGATGACTGCCGGAGTCCGGTTGGTGAGCTGTCGCGTGGTCTAGTGCAGTGATAATGGTGGCAGAGAGAGGTGGGCGTATTGGCGGTAGAGCTGGAAGGACCTAGCATTGCATTAATCAGTACTCCCCTGCTTTACCTGGTTGTTCTGTGTCTTAAACCTGTCCAGGTAAATGTGGTTTGGCAGCCACAAAGGCCAACAAAATACTGTGCTTTAACGTAAGGTATGTGAAACCATACACCGGCACTCTGTTCCCCTTTAAAAGCCACTGACAGTACTGTGGACAGTTCAGAAAAAATTTAAAATAAATTAAATATATTCTGAGACGGGTATTAAATGCCAAATGGCACAGAAAAGAGGCTTAGTGGCCTCCGGCGTATGGGAAGACCTACAGACAGGACATAGTGTGACAGAAGTCATGAAATCCTGATGCATATAAATGAAG